AAAAAAAAAAAAAAAAAAAAAAAAAAAAAAAAGAATTTTAAAATATTAACGAAATAATGATTAATAATACTAAGGAGAACACCGATCTTTGTACCCCTGAACAAGACAACTGGGTGCAATGTGATCGGTGTGAAAAATGGAGGAAGCTTCCTGCCTACATTGACATGAATAACTTGCCCAAAATATGGTATTGTAATTTGAATACGGATGCGAGATATAATTCTTGTGATGTAGAAGAGGAAGTAGCTACTTATAATTCAGATTTGGGAAAAAATTTCCCTTCAGGGCACTTCAATATTGGCCATTTTGCTACTGAGCTGGAAAGGGGTCTACACACAGACGATGTTATTCACACCGATGGACTCAGCAACATGGCTAGTGCCATCGACCCCAGCGCTTGCGCTCATCATATCGAGGAACATTATTCAGTGGGGGCAGAATCCTTCCACGCGAGTAGTTCCCACGCCGACGTTACTAAGGCGATTGATGAGGCCAACGCATTTGTGATCAAGGGATCCCCCCATAGTAATGTCAACCATGGTAGTGGTAACCAAGGCAACAGCAATCACTACAGTGATGGCAAATTTTTGCCTTCCGTCCCCGCCAAGGATTTTTTCATCCATGGGGAAAAAATTCCCTCGGTGGAACTGCGTAACAGTGTTGCGTTCCCGTTTGTCAACCCTGAGGATGTGAATGGTCCTAACTCGGAAGGCAAATATACACACGTGGGAAGTAACCGTAAACCTGTGGACGGCCACCTCGACATGCACACCACACAAGTCAGGATAAACACGAAAGGGAAACGCGACAAAGAAGGCTCGATGTTAATGAAGAAGCCGCTCAAGCGGGAACAAGGGGACAAGGGAAGTGGAATTCCAAGGGGCAACAACGCAAAATTGAGCGTATCCTCCTTCCCCAACCACGTTAAAGTTAATGACTGTTATTTGAAGCAAGCTGAAGGGGAAGACGACCAGCACATCCCCTACGGCAAGCCAGAAAACGACGCCCCTAACGTAGTCACCAAAAATGTGAAAAAGAAAAATAAGGATACCAATAAAGGCACAAATAAGGGTACTAATAAAAGCGCCTATAAGAATGCTAATAGGAATAAGCGGAAGGACCTGCTAGCGCGCCACAAACGAAGCAACAGTGATGGAGAGATATATGAGAATCAAAGACGCAAACACGAGTTTCCCCTGCACAGGATGCACGTGAGCGACACAGATATGAACACCGCGGGAAACATGAAAAGATTTAAGAATTTAAAAAAAAATGCAAGCAGCAGCGGCATCCCCTTTTATTCCTTTATGCACTCAATCGTTAACATAAATTTGAAAAATAAAATTAAGAAGCCCTTGGGGAAGGCAAAAAATAAAAAGAAGGAAAAGGAAGAACCCCCGATGGGAATTTCCACCTTCGAAGTGAAGGAGAAAATGGAAGATAGCGATGCCAATGAGAACAGTGTTAAAGTGCCAACAGATAAAAAAAGTGCTAAGAAGAAGAAAATAAAAAATGGCGACGCGGATCAGGGACCAAGCAGCGGCAACGGGGAGAGGAAAAAAACCCAGAAAAAAAAAAACGATCGAGTGACGAATGGTCATGTGAATCCCCAGTTGGACGGCGACTCGCAGTGCGCTGTTAACTGGAACAGTGAGGTGTTAAACGAGGGAGGCAGCTTCCAGAATGATAACTCGGAAAAAGCGAATCACCGCTTCGTCAAAGGTGAAGAAGAAGCAGAAGAAAGTGGCCGCCACGTTCAACACAATGGGTCTCTCTACCACACGGACGTCGCTCAAAATTATATGACCATGCCAAGGATGTCTCCTGATGTAGGAAGAAGTAACTCACCTAAGAAGGAACACGACGATGTACCTTTTGGGAGTCCTCCTTCGAATGACCCAACCAGTTACCCCTTCCTGACTGAACCGAACAATGTCATCGCGGAAGATGCACTTAACTCCACCGGAGGAGTATGTCCAAACAACAGCGGCAGTCAGACAGTGAACGGAAGCGGCAGCGCCTCCAACAATGTAGTTAATTGGGTCCAGTGTGAAAGTTGTAAAAAGTGGAGAAAGGTCGATGCACATATTAATATCAACCTGTTGCCGGACGAGTGGTATTGCCATCTTAACTTTTGGAACAGCTACAATAATTGCAACATGGAGGAGGAAATATATGTTGAAGAAAATCTTAACGCAGAATTAGAGCATAATAACTTGGAGAAAACGCAACAGGGGGTGGTAGAAATGGAGGAGGAGAAACAAATCATCCCCCATGTGGGAGGTTCACAAATGGACAAAAAGGGGAAGCGAAATGAAAAGAACCAAATGAACGAACAGGCTAACAAGATGGATCACCCTACAAAAGGAAATGCTCTCCAATTTCAGGAAAAAATTAACCACTCAGGGAAAGCAAAATCAAGTAAAAAAAATCGGCATGGTATAAACAATCCCATGATTAACAATAGTGATTTGATAAAAAAAGGAGAAAACAAAAAAAAGGACACCATGCCGAGTAAGTCAAATAAAAAAGCAACCAAGGGAGATGATTCTTTTTTAGAGCATGTGGTAGGAAGCAGTTTGGACAAATTCCAGAGTAGCATCTTTAGCGAATATGTGATGAATGAAAGGGACGATAGCGCTGTCCCCTTCAGTAGCGAACATGAACTCATGGACACTGTGGAGGCTAGCCAATTTTATAACCCTATAATTAAGGGCAATTATCATGTACCAATGAACAGTGCAGATGTGAACTCTGCCCTTTTCAAAACTAACGAGGGAGAATACAATCTCTGCAACGATGATAGTGAAATAATAATGAGCTATGGGAAAAGGGCCGAGACGCAAGAAACGCAGGAAACACAAGAAGAATTGTTTAATAGCTTGTCGCGCGCAACGTCCGGGTCGTATAGAAGACATACGCCAGTTCATTCGAAAACGGGGGAATCTTATAAAAGTGAATTGCAAAGAAGCAATAGTTTCCTTGTGGGGAAGGAAAATGGCTCTCTTGAAGGGAACCACTCAGCAGCGAACGGCGCAACGGTTAACGCCATTGAAGCCTCCCCCCGGGAAGACACATCCCAAAGAGGAAGCAACCCCATGGACTTGTTACAAGGTGCTAGCAAATTCTGGAATATGATCAACAATGAAAAATTAAGTTACTACTTAAACAACACCAATATGTTTAAGATGTTTCACTCATTACCAAAATATGATTATCATGAAAACGTGAGGGACAGTACAGTCAATGAGGAGGTCTGTCCAGACACCTCCATGGAGAATCAGCACGCAGGGGATGGCACCACGTCCCATTCAGCTGTCCTTCCCGATGACCATTTGTCGTGTTGCTCTGTCGCGTGCGCAGACGAAATGAAGGCGAAAAGGTGCAACTCGTTTGACGTGGGGGGCAGCACCAACAAAGTTACCACCGCCGAGATGAACGTGGACAATGTTCGAGAACGAAACTACCTTTCGGACAGCGTCCTCCAAATAAGGAAACGCAAAAGGGAGTTCATGAAAAAGAATAGCGAATACCGTTACTCAGATCGAGTGCCCAAACCGAGGCATTGTCTCCATCATAAAGGGGAGGATAACTACCAAGGAGGTACCTTCCCTGGAGAATATTCTTCCCAGAGTTATAGCCATTCTTATGGACTCATCAAAAGTGAATGCAGATCCTCCTACCCTGGGGCACATCCTGCTGCATATAGAAGCAAGATCGTGAGAAGATATTTTTCTCCCCACGCGAGGAACACTCATTATGTCAACCGCCTGGACGAATTGAACACCACCGTGGAGGGCTATCCGGGATACCATGACGACGACAACGCGGAAGGTTACGCAAAGAACAACGGTCGTGAAAGGAGCCGCGCGTACCAATACGAATACCGCTATGGTGATGATCACCCCAGGGAGTACACCAACGATGACGCCGAGCTGTGCGACATACTGGTGCAGAGACTGCAAAGCGATAAATACAAGGGGACCGTCATTAACAGAAACGTGGACCTTGGGGTTCCGTATGGAACGTACGGAAGCAGGGCGGCAGACAGCGACGCTGTGGAGGACAATTATGAAGATGGCCACCATCATAATAACGCCGAGAGGGGTCTAAGCAAGGGAAGTACTATCAACCCCAACGATGATGCACAAATGGAAAGCAATTTCGAGGGGAAAGAGGTTCCCTCAATTAACCACTTACATTACAAGCGGGCAAAGAATAACAAAAGAGATAGCCATTACAATGAGATGAGCGTGACCAACCAGCCGCCTAATGGAGAGAAGGATAACATAATGATGTCCCAATACCTTCGCTACAGTAGTAAGGGTGATAAAAAAGAGGAAGAGTTGGAGGGCTTGCAGAATTATCGTTTCTCCAGTATCAACATGAACGCGCGAGTTGGTGTGATGGACCCCACTTCAAAATCTTTGAACGATTTAAAAACTTTACCAAGTGGAGTGAAGAGAAATTCCTTTTTGGCAAGGTCCACCATTTTCAAAGGAGAAGAAAAGGATGTCAGTCAATACGGTGATGAGATGGATCACTTGACCAATTCCTACCCTCAGTTATATACAAACCACAGGAGCAGTGACAACCTTTTGCCTCGAATATTAAAAAGCAAATCCTTGAGTCACCTTGAAAAAAGGCCATACTTCCATGTGGATAGAAGTGAGCGCAGCCTTCTACCCATTAACAATAACAACACGAGCATACCAAAGAGCAGTTCGTATAACAGAATAAATTCCGATGATTATTTTGACCTGCGTCTAGGAGACATTACCAGTGATCACTACCTGATGAAGAATGCCACAGGCAGTCAGGTGGAGAATTCCATGAGGGACATCTTCTTAAGTAATTATTACGCCAAATTGGAAAGTGAAAAAATTGATACGTCCATCAAAAGCGATATTAACAATTTAACATCGGATGATTATATGAAGATAGGACAGTACCTCTGGAGGGGCAGAAGAGATCATGTTACGCAAGGCGAGTATTCTTGTTTAAAAAATGCAAGTAAGGAGGATGAAGGAGAAGAATATGAAGAAGAGGGTCGTGACATGAAGGGCTCCATCTCGCCCAGTGATAACTCCTTTCTTAGCAGCAACTATTTTAGTAGCCTACCCAGTGCATATTCGTTGGATAAGCTGATGATGAAAATACCCCGTAGTGAAGAGATGGTGGAGAGTAACCTTAGCCACCCCAGTGAAGCTGATATAGGCTTGGGATATAACACTGTTCCGCACATCCCTACGGGAATCAATACCACACCGTATGAGAGTAAGCACATGAAGAGGAACTCCCAAGCGAGTGTGCAGAAAAACTCCAACAAGGCTTGTCTCATCCTGAGCAGAGGGGATGCGAACAGTAGGAAAACTGCCAAGTGCGGCACCGCGCAAGGTAGTAAGGGGCCCGCAGAAGGTAAAGGTAAAAATGCGAAGATGAGGAGTAACGAGGTGGGAGGCATCGTGAGGGGGGGGCAGCCAGTGAGCATCTCGAGTAGAAGGAGAGTACTCGAGAAGGGAGCGGAGAAGGACAGAAAGAAGCAGGAAAAGCAGGATAAACAGGACAAGCAAGATAAGCCGGAGAAGCTGGACAAGGTTGAGAAGTCGAACAAACAGGACGAGTACAACGAGTACATCACGTTCAACATGGACTACAACGAAAATAAAAGCATCATTAAGGAACTCATACGAAATAGAAACAACCTTCTAGGTCAGTCCACCCCCAAGGGAAGCATATTGCCCAGGTCATCTCACGTGGGACCGCCACTCCACAAAGAGTCCATTGAAGGAGGACAAATACAAACTACTATATTGAATGCCAAAAATTTGAAGAAGCATATCTTGAGCAATCGAGTCATTATATACTCCAAAGCAGTAGCCCTAGCATACAACGTAGACGAAATAAATGAGAACAGCATTTTCTTTTACACCTTTGAAGAAAGTAACATGAGCGGTAACTTAAATAATTCCACCTCTGTTAACGGTGTTGCCACGAACATTGTGTCAAATCACCACAACCCCACCACCAACAACCACAGTAACAATAGCTCCAAGTATAAAAGAAGTCATGAGGATGCTAATAAGGAGGCACAAAAACAAGCTGCAAGGAACAACATATATTTCAATTATGCACATAACATTAATTTTAGTGAAAAGAAAAATACAGATAAGAATAAAAGCAAAAAGGTTACCACTTCTGTGCTTAATTATGATTATAAAAAAATAATTGACGAAGTTGGCCTTTTTAGCAACAGCATAAAGCTACAAATACCTCAGTTGAAATATAAGTTTAAAAGATATATCCCTCTCGAGGAGGATAAGAATGATGGGAAGAACGACGAGTGTAATGTTACGGAAGGACAACTATCTCCTCACACGATAAGTGAATCGAATGCAAAACTGCACACCGTAGCCATCCCCACGCCCTACAGCAATGTTGACATGAAAAAGAAGGAGAAAAAGGAAAAAAAGAAAAAAAATAAAATTTTTGTCCCCAACGGGGGTGATGAAGAGACAGATGTAGGGGATGCTGCGGGAGAAGAGGCGGGAAGGGGTCACCACCCTGTGCACTTAACGAACCACGCTGAGGGAGCGATCCTTTTGGGTAAAGCCCCCTTGGATAATAACCACCCTTCGAAAAAGAAACAAACTGTGCTGAAAACGCCAAAGGAGGCACCCTCCATCGGATTCCCTATAAAAGAAGAAGAGAAGGGGTTGAAGAAAGGCAAGGCGTCGTCCACCCCACTTGGTAAGAAGACCTATGGACACGATGCGTTGAATGGGTTCCCTTCATTGGACCAAAATGAAAATGTACATCAAAGTAATTATCGATCTGGGGTTTCTGCTTCCCCCTTGCGCAACGGTAGCAATAATAGGAGCGGCAAGCATGAGGTGTGCGAACGGTTGGAATCGTATGTGCCTCCTCAACCGCGTGATGATGAGAACTCAGCAAATGGATGGATCAACACAAATGTGAAGGAAGATATCCCCGCCAGCCAAATCAAAGTGAACAAAAAAACGAACAAATGGATGTTCGCGGAGAAAAGCTCGACCAATAAAGAAACACCTCGAAATGACAAAAGTAGCAAACACAAAAAAACAAATGAGAAAAACAAAAAAATGGTGTTAAAAAATGAACAAAATGATATGCACGAAGAAACTCTCCTGGTCGAGAAGAATGAAGACACTGAGACGAATGAACCGGTTGCGAATGTGGACCAGGATGAAGGTGATCCACGAAACTACGCCAACATGGATGATGCTCCCGTTGGAAGAAGTTCGAAGGAAAAAGGGGGAAAGAAGAAAAAGGGAACAGTGCGAGCAGCAGGTTTAGGGTTGGCACAAGGGGAACAAGAAAAGGAGGAGCAAAATGGAGACTACAAAAAAAGTAACCCCAATGTGAAGAAAAATGCCAAGGGTAGCAACGATGGTAGTAAATGTCCCCCTTTTGAACAATGTGAACAATATGAAGATGAGGAAGAGGAAGATGCGGCGTATGATAACCCCCAGGGGGACACACACGATGAGGGCGATACTCATGGTAAGAGGAAAAAAGCCTGTGGTGATATGCTGGATGGGGGGCATAAAGTGGCCAGTGACCATCACGCAAACGTTCATTCAGTGAAGGGAAACGTGGTCAGAGTAAAGAAGAAAAAGAAAAATGTAGCTAAGGACAAGGATAGCGTCGATGGAATTTCCCCCTCCGAATCTGACACACGCATGCCAACCAAAAGAAGGAAGACAGCCGATGAGCACAATGATGAGCGCTCATATGAAAAGGATAACAAAGAGGAGACCGCTACTCCAACACACAAGTTAGAAGCAGCAGAAGAGGAAGAGGAATATGAAGAAGAGGAGGAGGATTATGAAGATTCAGACGAAGGAAACAGCCTTAAGAACGGGCACTCTCCAAACAGTGAAAATGCAAAGGACAGAAATAACCCCACCGGTACGCGGTGCATCCCAGTGCAAACAGAAAAGCTTCTTCATCGTAGTAAGGCCCGCTCCAAAAAAATAATTTATGACGACGATGAGGATGAGGAGTACGAAGTGAACACCCAGGAGAACCCCAATGGCGTACAAACATCACCAGTGGGACAAGATCCTCGAGAAAGAAATTTGAATAATGAGCAAGTAGAAACTGATACATCATACCATAAGGAAGCTAATAGGAGCCATCCACAAGGGGTAATAAGACAAACGGAAAATAATGATCGTTCTCATCATGAGAAAGGTGCCTATCGCAAGCGTAAATTAGACGAAGAGTTACAATGTGATAGCCGATCGAGTAGCAAGAGGGGACAGCAGGTGATGCATCCCCGGGATGAAACACTCCATCGACACAAGGAGAGGCATTCGTCGTATAGTCCTATGAGAATGGCCAGTCGTTATGATGAAGAGACGACAAGAAGAGACCAAAAGAAAGAGCACGCATCGGTTGTACCAAAGAGGATGCACAAGGACCAGGAGGACGACGACAACGAGTCGTCTGCTACGAACAAGAACTATGCGTCCGCTGAGGAAGAGGCAAACGAACGGGTTGACCACCATGGCCAAGGTGACCCCAGGGGTTACAGCAAGAAACCAAGGGTACACGACTACAAGCATGATAGAGATGATAGGGGGCATTATGTAAGGAGTGGTTATGATCAGAGTGAAGAGAGGCGAAGTGTGAACGGTCGGGACAACTGTATTTCGCACTCCCCCTCGGTCAATAGGTACGAAGATGAGCACAGACACAGCGGCAGGTACGGCGGAAGGCACAACGATAGGCCCAGCGATAAGCACACTGATAAGTACTACGACAGGTACAGGGATAGGTACAGTGGAAGGTACGGCGGCAAGTACAACGATAGGTATGGCGATACGCACCATGACAGATCGGGAAAATTCGATGACCTGTACCCGCAGCACCACTCAGATATGTACGACCGCAGGGACAAAGGCTCCTACACCGGGCACAACGGAAATTCCCCTAGACATGAAATATATTCCAAGCATGCCCACGACTACGAGGACCATAGGAGATTTGAAAAGCAGCATAGTCGATACGAGAAGCACGACCTGAGTGGAAAGCCGGATCGTTATGATAAGCGAGCAAACAAATACGAACAAAGGAATGAAAGGATGGAAGAAAATTTGAGGAGGCATGAAAACGAACAATTTAAAAGTGCTAACCATGATATGAGGCATAATACTAACATGACCAATCGCAGCAGTAACCGCAGCTCTCTTAACCGAAACAGCAGTCATGCGGAAGATGCAGAGAGGAAGGAATTCCCAAATGGAACTTATAAAAGGGAAAGGGAGGAACGTGAAGAAAATAACTACGCAAGGTACGGAGAAAAAAATAAAAAAAATCGGTACGACTATGTGGAGAGCGAATACAAAGGAGGAAGATACATGGACAGCGATAAGGATGACAAATATTTTGGCAGGAAAATTAAACACCGTAATCATCACTTTGAGGAGAATGAGTCCAAACATTATGCGGGCGGCTACAGTGGGTATGGAAGCCAGGGCGACAAATTCCACCAGCATAGCAGCCACCATGGTGACCACTACAGCCATCACAACCATCACAATCACCACGACCGCCATTATCACCGCCACGGCCCCCCCACCAATAAACTGGTCAACAAAAGCTACAAAAGTTAGAAGAGAACAGAGGTATTGCTTTCACAGTGTGGGATAAGGGCAGAAGGCATAACATTTTAAAGGAGCTTTTTCAGTGCACTTCTCTGAGAGGAACTTTTTTTTTTTTATACAACTCAGCACACAAACGCATCCAGTGGTGGGACTTTCACGTTCCAGGCGCACCCGTACACCAGTATGTATATGTGCGTTCGTATCTACATCCACGTGTGTTCCTCTAGTTCTCTTTTTTTTGTTTCATTTTTACTTTCCCATTTTTATCATCCTAACCCTTATTTCCTCCATCCCCCCTTTTCCTGCTGAAACTTTACTCCGTTTGGTTTAATTTTTTTTTTTTTTTTTTTTCCTTTTTGTCTGTGCTTTATCACTATCTAAGAGGGTGAATAATGGTTTGTGGATTGGCCGCATGGCGTGTGCGCGTTGTGCCGGGTCTGCAATTTAGCCATTTGGCATTCTCTCTCTGCCAAGACTATTAACCTTTTCTTTTAATTACCTGTATGCAAAAGTGCGTACATATTATATTCATACGATGTGTATATATATACATGTGTGTAATTAAAATTTTCACTCTTTCCCCTCGCCTTAAGCGTTTGTATGTTTTACTCATATACATGTTTGTGGGGTGGACTGTCCATTTCTTTTCTACTATACACCCTTCATATGTCTATCATTATGTTCCCACTTTGCATTCGCATAAACGTTCCTTTTTAAGACAATAAAAATAAAAAAAAAAATAAAAAATATATCGTGCGGATGTGCAAAAAATTAACTTTAAAAAAATTGAAAATGCTCATGGGGGATACACAGTAGTCTCGCACATGTGCTCTGTAACACGTACAGGTAGCATTTGTCAGAGTAACCCACGTGACAAATGAGAGTGTCCTCCTCCTCGTGCAAGTTCACTGGATCCCCTGTTGGATGTTCTGAATGTAGTCGTACATAATCGTCGTTATGTTGTTGTACGCCTGGTGAATTTTGTTTATCATGAAAATGCTCGCGTCGTTGTCGCTTTTATCAAGTTTGAGGCGTTTCCTGCGAAGGGGGGGGTATCAGACAAGTAACCAGGTGGGCGGGGCGAAAGCAGCAATGCAGCGGCGATGAAGCGGCGTGCCGCTTTCGGTTAGCCCTTCCTCTCAGTGTACATTTCCACACTGCATATTTTCCTTTTTTTTTTTTTTTTCGCGTGCCATGTTCCCATTTCTCACCTCAACTTCTCAACCGTGTTGTACTTAAAGCAGTTGATGTCCGAGTGGGACAGACTCAGAATGGATGAAATCAGCCAGTCGCTCTTTTCCCTCAACAGCAGGTACCTACGTGGCGTACAAAAAAGGGGGGGAACCAAAAATTACATGTATGTTACATGCATGCACAGCGAATCGGCTTCAAAACCAACAAGGGGGAGAACCACGGGTGCACATGCAGAGAGAGAGGGAGGGACTTTGCTTACCCCTTGACAACCAACTGAATGTAGGTAAAAATAAAGTACTGCTTCTTCTGACTTTTCATGGTGAGGAGCATGATCATTTCTCTCGTTAACTTAAAGGGGGCCAATTCGAAATTTATGGAGATACCTGAAAAAAAAAAAAAAAAAGAAGGAAGCAAAACAGACATGTGAGTGTGCACTTGCGGATATGTATACGTGTGTGTATGTCAACATGCTCACAGGTAGAGCGGTACACCCTGAAACAACGCACAGGTAGAGCGGTACACCCTGAAACAACGCACAGGTAGAGCGGCACACCCTGAAACAACGCACAGGTAGCCCCCCTCTTTCACCAAGTAGCTTTTCCATACCAGGATAAATATTCAAGATATAACCAAAATCAATGTGGATAATATTTCCATAATCGTCGAACAGTAAGTTGCCGTTGTGCCTGTCCTTCACTTGCAAAACAAAGGACAAAAGGGAGTAGGCAGCCAAGGAGCAAATAAAATTTTTCAAAGCATAGATATACGTATTGATGTGAGAAAATTTCAGGTGATAAAATTTTATTATGTTTTTATATTTTCTTCCTATTTCATGTCTGCTTTTTGTATTTGCTAACACTTCAATAACTGCCCCGAAATTTTCGAATTTTTTTTTTTTTTTTTTTTTTTTTTTTTGCTGAATGTTTCTATTCTTTTGGAGTATCCGCTAACGTGTTCGGGTACGTATGGAATTATGCTTCGGTCAAAGGGTTCCCTTTGTGAGACATCCCTGCTATACTTGATCTCTTGTTGCTCTTTGTTCCTATGCTCACTGCGTTTGACTGGGCAGCGGGACTCGTCCATCCGAAGGGTCTTTCCATCACCGTGGTCGGTGCTGCCTCGAGGGTTGTTGCTTCCTCGCCGGCTGGTACTCTTTTTAGAGCGGTCATCATTTGTACTGCCCATTCCTTTGGAGGGGTCCCTTTTACTTGCGTTTCCTCCGCCACTATCTTTTTTGCTCACTTCCCCCTCGTTTGACCCTTTCTTTCTCTTCCTGAAGAGATGGAAGGAGAAGGAGAATTTTCGCCCACTCTGCGTCCTTCCCCCATCCGTCCCGTCCTCGGCGCACTTGCCACTGCGATCCCCCTCCGTTCCCTTCACATGAACGTTGCTGTACTTATTCGTTACGATATTGTAAGGAAATAAATTATAAAACGATTTATAATCACTTAGGATGTGGATAAAAATGTGAATAATCTGTATGACCAGTTTGTCTTGCCTAACATCATCATTAACTTTGTATATGTACGAAACGTCTTCAAAATTTTGGTTCGTTCTATGGGAGGTCAAAGGGGCACTGTGTAGGGAAGGAAGGGTTATTAAACTGTTCCTGCCTTCCATGTGCTCATCTAACAGCCTTCCGCTGCTCCTTACACATTGGTTACTTAAATGTTCGTATGTGGTACGTACGCCCCTGTTCTGTTCCTCACTGGATAAGTAATAAGAATGTGGTTTCATTTGTGAACCAGTCCCTGTACGTTCCTCTGGTGGTTTTCCTCCAAGGGGGACATCTCGTTCGCTAATGAATAGACTCCGATCTCTCTTCTTCGAGGCTGCACAATCTGAGCCTCCATTCGCAGTCGCCATCTTAACGTTGGGAAGGGACCACATGCGCTGGTACGTTCGCTTCTTGTCCACCTGATCCCTTGACATGACCTCCTTTCCCTGATGACATGGAATATTGCCAACAGTAGTTTGGCTCATCGAAGCACCAATTACAAGTTTCTCCCTCCTGCACGTCTTGAAGGTAATAAGAATGGGTGTCCTTGTAGCGGACATAAGTATCTTCACCTCATCCGATACGCTCCACACTATATTGTTACTGGTTAACAACTTCACCCTCTGTACATCCATACGGTTTAGCAAATTCTGAATTTCCATTTTAACGAAATGGTGTTGATTATTCTTGTCCATTTGGGCCGCCCTCTTACTTATATAAAAAATATAATTATGAAATCTGCACGACTCGATCAATGCCTTCCTGCTCTTGTCACACAAATTTTGTATTAATAATTTTTTAATGAGGAAACATTTTATGGACAGAACATGTGACTTCTTCACGTAACTGTGATATTTGAAAAAAATAAAATTATTTATATTCATGCCTTTTTGGTTTTTATTACCACTTTTGTTTCCCGCGGGAAGTTTTCCTTTGTTGTTCTTAGGAAAAAAGAGAAGCATGAGTAAGTTCTTGAGCGGGTTCGTCCTGGGGGCAAACATGTCTGTGTTAAAGAGTACACACTGTTGGTCCATGTGTTGCTCATCCCATGCGTTCACAATGCGCGTTTGTTCCTGACACCTCCCATCCTCTACACTCACCAATGCGTGGTGCTGTTCCTCCTCGTGGAGAGAGGCCAAGTCGACCAAATACTCATCATCAATGTACGTGTGCAAATTGAGGAAGAATTGGTAGAGAAAGAGGAATGACTGGAAGGAGAAAAAAACGATAAAGAAAAAAACTCTGTTCCCTAGATCAACCTTCAAATACTCAAACAGTTGCAAATAAATACAATTTGTGATGGTGCTCTTTTTGTACCAATACACCAAATTGCTCACAGCTACCGTTCTTAAAAAAAGACCATACTGTGGATGGCTGTACAAAACTTTTATTATATCATTAAGACTCAACTGATTACAATGCAGAAATAAAATGTTAGAGATAGGTACATAGGTCATTTTATTTTTTCTTAACAAAAATAAATTATATTTGTTCATGGTCAATTTATTACTTATGCTCACTTGGATTAGGTATTGATGTAGGACGTTCATGAGATCTTTATAAAAGTACATGCATAGATAGTTGGCCATTTTGTGTACTGCGTTGTTAACAAAATTTAGCACTTTTATTACAAAGGTAGTATACAGCTTGGGGTTATTGTGCATGTGTGTTTTGATGTACTTTACCACCATGAACAGAGAGTACTTGTTGATGTCCTCGTTCACTTCCTTCATATCCATATTAAAAAGAGAGTTATAAAAATGTAAATTTAAATACACATATATATATTCTATTTTTTTAAAAAGCTTGTAAAATGTGGACAAATTATGTCTGTAGTAATATGAGTACAGTGCCTTGAGCAACCCTCTGCTCACTTTTATTTTATGCCCCATAATTTCAAAGTGCCTTCGGTAAAACACGTTAAAGTTAGAATGTAGCGACGTGTAGCTGAATATGTTGCTGATGTAACTGCTGATTTTCTTATCCTTGTAATTATTATTAAATGATATGAATAGTTGTTTTATCTGATCCATATTTTCTTCTTCCAGGCTACATCGATCCATCCTAAGCATATAATTCATGTCGCTGTTTTTCATGTCCCTTGATTTGTGTTTCACGAAAAGGTTTTTAATTTGAGCAGATTCACTTTCACGATAAGGAGAAGAAATATTTTCCCTCTCCTGGTGTGCATTCTCATGGGGGGTGATGTCGTCTCTCCTCTTTTCCTTTTTCTGTCCAAAGAAAAAATTACGAATATTCCACCTGGCCTTCCCACTAGCCTTACCCTCATCCTCATGACCCTTGTCCATTTCGTACGTCCCATCGTAGTTGTAGAGGGCATTGTCGTTGGTTGCTCTAATTGCTGCGTTGAGCGGTCCTTTTTTCTTTTTCTCTTTTTCCTTCTTATTTTTCCCTTTTTCCTTTTCTTTTCCCTTTTCCTTTTCCTTTTCTTTTTTTTTTTTTCTTTTTTTCTTTTTCATTCTGGCCAACTTGGCTTTATATTTGTCTGACAGAATTTTATAATTGTGAAAATAGTTAATCGAGGGCTCCTTAATTTTGAAGCTTTTCTTGGACACATTTTTTTCTGCAAACAGGTAGTTGTTTAAGGACAGATTTTTGGCGCTTTTTGGAGTATCGTGTTTTTTTCTTCGCTTTAGAAAAAAGGTCATCCTGCTGACCCTCTTCTTCTTCTCATTTTTGTTTTTCCTCCTGCTCTTGGTTTTGTTTTTTTCTCTCTTTTTCCTTTTGTTCTTTCTACTTGCTCCACTATCGCTGCTGCTGTCCGTGTCACTTTCACTGTCGTTACCTTTCGCGCTACCGCTGCTCCATATATCGTGCGAGTCAATGACGACTCTCTTCTTCTTCGTCTTCTTCGCCTGCTTCTTCTTCTTCTTGCCACTGATTTTTTCCACTGCCAAATGGAAGGGAGTGCTTTTTCGGCGGCCCCCACTCCGCTTCCTCTTCTCGCCACACTCTTCGCCCTCCTCTTCAGGCACATCGCGCGTACTTAAGGAGCTGCCTCCATCAGCACTCTCCTCATGCGTCATATAGTCCGACTGGTAGGTACTTCCATCTGTGTCCCTTCTGTCCTTCCTTCGAGAAGCAGCTGGGATGTGATGTCGATTACTTCCCGAGTGGACAAGGGGATCTCCATTTTGGTAACTGTTCTTCTTCTTCGCCTCGGTATTCTCCAAGCACACGTATTTTATATTATTAAAGATACACATGTCTGTGAATAATTTACTCTTGTACAAATTTATGTAAATGCTTTCCGCTAGGTACAGCGTACTCATAATGATGAAGTCCAGGTTAAGAAGATGCCTCGTGTTGATAACAATTTCGTTTTGAATCTTGGAGTTATGAACACTACTACTGTTCAATTCGTTTTTCCTTCTAAACGCTGTGTAGGAAAAGAGGCAGAACCTGCTCTTATTCATGTCTTTATATCTGTACTTCAGTTCGTACATGTACATGAGGCAATTGTAAATTAAATTGCACACGTGTATGTACTTGTTTATACACATACACCGCAGCTCTTCCTTCAAGTGGTAATCGTACAACCTCCTTTTGTTTCCTTTCTGGTAGGTCAGGAGATACTTGTATGCGTTCAGAAGCTCCACGTCTTTCTCCCGTACCTTCCGTGAGCACAGATGGTCGTCATCGCGGTGTTCACTTCTATCCCGATTGTCAAACTCTTCACCCTCCTTGAAGTTGCCGTCATCCTGGCCATTCTCTCCCCCTCTCATGTTGGCACCGCCCTTGCTGGTCCGGGAAGCACTCATCACGGTTCTACCGCCCCAGTCGTGGTTCCCCCCGCAGGAACTACTCCTTGCATGTTCCTCTGCGTCTACGAAGTCGTCATCAAAGGAGAAGCCATTTGCCGTTTTCTTCTTCACCTGTTCTTTTCCTTTTCCCTTTTTGTTGCCCATTCGGGTTATTTTATTTTTAAAATAGGAGATAATTCCTCCGGTGTGCTTTCCACTGGTCCTACTATGCTCCTCTTTCTCATTCTGGTTATCGTTCTTATTATCGTTTCCATTTTTCGTTTCGGCGGCCTTTTTGCTTCGTCGCGATATTCCGTTTGTGTGCATATGGGTTTGCACTTCATCATGCGTCAGCTGGCTATCTTCCATGTGACGCTTCTCTGCCGAAGAATGACCCCCCCTCTGTGTGTCACTCTCCTGCAAATGTCCATGCGTTGACTGCACTCCAAAATGAATTTCTGCCTCATTACATTTTTTCATTCCCTTGTGCATATGGGCGTCAATCTCAAGGGGGCTTGTGTCACCTAGATGCTCCGCCGAAATGGTTATCCTCTTATCCCCTTCCCTTTTGTAAAACATGTCGAAATACCCTCCTTGGGCTTTCTTCTTCCCTTCTCTATTTGAGTCCATCACAGCGGAGTTGTCTTGTGAACCCCGCTCCACTTCAGCATGTGGGAAGTCCTCCCCGTCATTTCCACCTACATGGTTAGAGCCCATTCTTGGATGCCCCCTCCCAGGCGGTCTCTGCAAATTGGTAACTCCACTTGCAGGGAAGCTAATAACAGTACTCACAGCATCCTCTTTCGATATTCCCCTCACAGGAATCTTCCCCTTCGCACCATGCCGCACAGGAGCCAAATCGATGGGGAGGGCATTCTTATCCCAGCATCCAACAGAATATTTATTAGCGCAATTGACACAGTAGATGTCTGGCAGGACGTTTTCAAAATTGTGGAAAAAAAAACACAAAAATAGAAATGCCTTCTGGAGCAGGAGCTTGTTAAAGTCAAAGATGTCACTGATGCATAGGGTGTCCACCTGGTTCTTCAAATTCACAACGGTCCTTTTCCTCTGTCGGAACCTGCTCATCTCAAACATGTATACATTAAAAAAGGAAAAAAAATTACGCAAATTATAATCGTAAATGAAATAGCTATATTTGTACTTGGCATACAAATCAATTAAATAATTATACGAGTGGAAAAAGTTCGAGGTGTAATTAAAAATCTGGACAGCCGATAAAAACACCGTGCACACAAAGTAGTAATTCATCTTGAGCGCTTTAAAATTATACAAGTAAATGTTGTTCATGCTCTGTATATGCAGACTATCATACATGTCCCTCATTTTTGCATTTTCGTGAAGGTAATAATTTAAAAAAAGTGAAATGCTCGACATATCCTTGAAGCAATCCAACAGGTAAAAAATGTTCTTCATGCTTCTCTCGAAGTAATCTCGCATATATTGCTTCGTTTTTTTCTTTAAAACTTCCTTCACCTCTTTGAATGCGTCTTTGTAAATGTAATCATCGTACTCGCTCAGACTACCATCTGTGTCATCCTGCGTGAAGCGTCCCAATGTGGTCTGCCCCACAGCAACGCTACTGCAGCCTCTTCCGGCCCCGAAGCACTCAAATTTCTCATCGGCCACTTTCTTATAATTGTGAAAATATAAATTAGCGCTACGGTAACAACTGAGGTGGTAGAAGGTTTTCATGCTCTGTAAAGCGTTTAAGCAATTCACCAAGCGATACATGTAACCATTTCTGAAAATGCTTTTCATTTCGTTCATCAGAGAGAAGGACGTATAATTTATTGTTAAAAGAGTTCTACTGAAGAGGAGACAAAATTCCAATGTGACCACCAAATAGTTACACAAATAAGGGATGTTTAAAAAATATATTTGCAACATTTTCTTCATTAAGTAGTGTTTGTACTTCTCCAGCTGGGTGATCTTTTTCTGTACTATTTTATTTTCGCTCATGTTCATATTTTGGTAAGTCAGGGACAAGTAGTTCATGTATAACAGTAGCAACAGTGTGTTGTTAATGAGGGTTGTGTATTTGTCTAGGACGAACTTATGTGGCATGTCACTTCTAAATAAGCTCCTCTGCATGTGTATGTTACTCTCTCTTATGTAATCATTCACGTAACGCTTAATCATGAACATGTCACTTTCGATGAATCTCCTCTCAGTTTTGCTCAAGTGAGACAATTCGCACGGCACTGTTCCCTTTGGTATCTCATCATGTGCGGTCCTCTCTACAGCGTCTTTCTCCACACAGTGGGTCTGCTCCGCTGGGGCAAACTCCCCTCCCCCACAACGATCCACCAAGTAATTTCCAACCCATATGGACTTTGCAGTCATCTTGGCCAACATTTTCACAAACTTGTAAAAGACAAAAAAATAATAATTGAAAAATGCGTATTTGTAATTGTACACGGAGAGGATGGTAGATAGAGTATACAAGACGTATATATATTTGTTCTTAACTCTAAGCTTGCATATGTTGGCGCCTGTTCCAGCATCGTCGCTTCTTCCCACGTCACCGCCTCCTACCTCGCCGCTCTTCGCCAAGGCAGCGCTCCCCTCAAAGGAGTTATTCACCACGGTATCCACATGGACGCTGTAGATACTTTTAAATCTCTTGCCCTTCGTTCTGAAAATATTATAATAAAAATAAAAAAAGTAAAATTTGAAATTCTTTTTAATAATTTTCGATATTATATACATGTAATTATTATTCAATGAATCCATATTAAGGCTGTTGATGTTGGTCGCCAAAAATATGGTGATGACAAAATTTATAGTGTTCATATATTCCTTAATGTGTTTTTTGTGGTAGAGCACTTTTTTGCTTATCTTAATATCGTAGAGGTTGAAAATAAATGTGTTTACTCCTCTAATCTTTTTTAACACCTTGAAGTAGTTCGAGTCGTTGTTTAGTGTCTCGCTGCGCACCACAGGGTGGGGGGGCCTGCGTTGATGTTGTTCCTCCGGCTGAGAAGCTCCACTGCTGTTTTCAAAAAACTCGCTAAACTCCTTATTCGTCTCGAAGAAGTTGGAGTTCATTTTCCTCCTCCTTCGGCGATTTATTCCGTAGTTGGAGCGCCCGCCGCTGTTCCCCGTAGACAGGAGGCCGCTTGTCGAGTGCACACCCTTCAATAGGGCCCTGTCGCTGATATCGTGACGGGGCGAACCGTGCGACTGCTTCCCCTCCGTCAGTAGCTCCGTTACCTGAGCGCTCACACAACCAGTGGAAAGACCGCCTACCCCCTGAGTGCCCTTGTCGATCCGGTCCACGGAGGCAGAACACAACTGCTTCATCCTGCGCATCTCGGACACTCTCTCGTAGTAACAACCCCCTGCATCGTCGCCATCCTCCTCATCGTCCTCCCCCTGCTCCCTATCCTGGTACCTCTTCACATACTTGTTCACACAGAAAATGTAAAACTCGTAGTAGAAAAAAGAATACAAATTAAAAAAAAACTTGCAGCAATTTAGCATCTTCAAAAAAAGCAGATAATTTATGGTAATGTATAAATTCACTTTGTAAATAATTTTTATCATGGTGCTTTTTTTCTTGTCCATAAAATTTTTAAATTTTTTTTTCTCCTCGTAGATCATCTTGGAGGATGCATAATCCAGGCTGCTCTTCTCGAGGTTTTTCAAAAAACAAATTAAAAAGACTCCATCAAATAAAATATTAAATTTTAATTTGAAAATCTGATCAAATATAAAATAAATATAATTCCGGATTATTTTATTATAACTCATTATATTCATTTGTAAAAAAAAAGTACAAAAGATAACACTGTAGTCGTGAAATTCTCTCATGTCTTGTAGGAAAATGTATATTTTAAAATGAATTAACTTTTTCACATTCTTGTGTATAAATTTATTTCTGAAAATGCCTTTATCAATAAGTAGGTAAAGAGAGTAAAGAATACATTCCTTCCTCCTCATACTTTCTATGTAGTGCATTATTATTACATATAATTTTTCCACATCGTTATTGTTCACCTCCACTTGCTCATTATTTTCCGTTCGATCCTCATTAACTGATTTTATAATTTCAATTTTGCACACACTATGTATGTTGTTCTTGTTTAAATATTTGATACTCAAAATGGGGGTTATTTCTGCTATTTTGCTCTTGATTAAATCTACCTCCTTACCATGGAGATAATCCGTCTGGTAAATTTCCTGGTAAAGCAAAGTGAAGTAAAACTTGTAAAAGTACAGAGACAGCATCTCTACATACTTGTTATACTTCTTCACGTCTTCGTACAGGTAGTGGAAGGTGTTGCTGAACAGGTGTGTCTTCAGCCGATCCATCATCCCCATCAGTACCTTCAGAGCCGCCTTGCGATTACTTCCTCGCTGCAACAGGGGGCATTTACTCGGTGGGAGATTATGCCCCCCTACTTCTACCCGCTTCATGTCCCTCATCACGTCTTCCTCCATTCTCGCATATTCCTTTGCTACTCCTTGTAAAAAAACTCCTCTCATCGCGTTACCCCGTACAGGCGAAGCCTTACTTGCATCGTGTCCCTCCTGAGAAGGGGTTCTAGCGTACGAGATAGAATTGCTCTTCTTCACCTTCCCACCAAGTTCTATCGTGTTCCTCAAGCAGTTTACCGTTCCGCTCCCTCCTCCCCCCACGCGAAGGACATCCCTGCGGGGCAGAGGCTTCCTCTCCACGAAAGAAATGAGAAAAAGCAATAGCGCACAAATGTACTTATATATGTGTACATACGGCATTACGCTCTCGAAGGACTTCAAAATGAGGAGGAAGAAACGATTCATGTGTTCACCAGCGTCTTGCTTGGAAACGCAATAATTGTAATTTATAAATAAAAAATGGAGTAACAAATTCCCTTCCTCCTTTTTTTCTCTTTTCTTGTCTCGCAAATATCTGCACCCTTTATTGGCCCAAAAATCTTTAACGATGATTTCACTCTTGCTCAGTCTTTTTAAGTCGCTCTGTCCAAAGGGGCCCAGCGGGTAGTCATACAAATCATTCGGCACAGGCTTCATCTTTTTTACTTTCCCTTTTATATTCAAACTGATATTAAAAATAACTTTCCTGTTTAACTGTTTCTTCTTCAGTAAAAAGTACTCATTCATATAATCATTCAGGTTGTGCAAAAATTTTAAATTAAATAAAAAGCTCAAATAATAATGCTCATTGTCAAAGGACGAAATCTTGTAATTTAAAATTTTCCTCAGAAAGGTATAATTTGAGTAGCTGTTTTTCTTCTCTAGGGTCGACATAACAAAGGTCTTATTTGTGAAGAAAAAATTTTTTTTTTTTTTCTTTTCACTGCCTTTTTTTTTGCTACTATATAAGCTAAACATTCTATTAAAAAACGTCATGTTCTCAATCAGGTGTCTTTTCTTCTTCGCCATATGGCTCTTCACAAATGAGCTGAAGTTATGCTTAAACATGGCCTTGTAAGTAAAAATATTGTTGCAGTAGTAGTGCAGCTTGTTAATGTATATCCCTAAGTAGTTCTTACAGTTGCTCTCCACATCATCGTGGACCTTTTTTTTTCTTTTTCGTTTTATTAGTTGTGACAGGAGATGCTTCATCAGCAGAGGGAAGTACACCTTGGTATAAACTTCTTCTCTTCCTCGGGCAGCTCCGCGGCTGCAGCGGGGATGGTCCCTGTTGGGGAAGCATCCGTTAAAGCTACTCCTGTTGGTGCTACTCCGGTTCGTACTGCTCCTACTGATGCGCTTTAGCCGACCCAATTCGTCCCTCACCTCTGCACCCTCCGCCACGTCACTTGTGCTCCACGAGGACAACCGCCCAATGGCTGCTTCTCCCCCCAAATGGGCCCAATTCAACCTTACGTAGTTATTCACCTGCATGACAAAACTGTTCCTTTCGTCTACAACCAAATTGGCACTACTCAGGGAAGCTCTCTTTAAAACATTCCCCTCGTCAGGTGCTAAAACATCATTGTGCTCATACTCAGGTTGGGGGTCCTCCTCATTCTGTTTGGTTCGATCTGCCACCTCCAAAGAGTTTCCACGAGGAACAACATGCTGCTCCCACCCGATGATGGCACATCCGCCTGTCTTCCCACCATACGTCCCCAGCACTGTTTGAAAAAATTTACTTAACTTTTTATCATTCCAAAGGAGGCACTTCAAAATGGTGAAGGCGTAATGCCCCACCGCTGGAGTCCTCATCACATTTTTCAATACCACGTCAAAGAAGAATATGGACAGGTTTACAATTCGAGTGACTTGCATTTCTCCGACGTGGAAACGTAACATTTTGTTAACGAAGGAAAATTTATTATGTTCCAAAATGGCTTGTACCTCATTTGGGGTTACATTCAGGAGAAGAATTAGCATTGGATAAATTTCGTACAAGTTAAAAATGCAGCTGTTGAGCAGGTACATGTAGGCCGTATTGGTAGTGGCTGAGCTGCTGAACTCCCCTCTTTTTTCTCGTATTTTTTTCTTTTCACTTCGGTTTATTATATAAAAAAGGGTGTTACAGTAGTACTCGTACAGATAGAACAATCGGTCGTATGTCATCATCATGTAGTTGTTGTTGCTCTTCCTCTCATCACCTCCTTTAACAATGAGGAAAAGTTCTTCCATCATCGACTTGGTCACCCTACCGATTGTCTCATGTAAATACACGGTTAAATATATTCTGTTTTTCTTCACTAACAGGATTTCCACCAATCGGAGTAGCTTCAAAAATACGAATTGGCTAACCGTTTTGCTGTGCATCAAGAGGATGCTGCCGTTCTCTCCATTTTGTTCATCCGTTAAGGGACTACTCCCCTCGTGTGGGCTCGGCTCAGATACCTCTTTCCTCCTCAACGTCATCAAAGGAGCAGCTTCGCCCCCCTCCGGGCGCAGCAAGTGCCGATCAACGGTGTTCTTCACTACATTGAGCAGAGTAACACTGTAAAAGGGGCTCTTCCCACTATTCAAAATGTACCTCTCCACATGTTTCAAAACCTTGAGCTTGCTCATATAGTCACACACATAGCTGATCATGTTTTGGTAATACACCAACAGCTCATTGGCACCCTTGCCCTTCCTCCCCAGGTGGTATAAATATCTGCTAATGAAAATCTCAGACACATGGTAGACATAATCGTAAAAACAAATAAATAATTTTTCCGTCTTGGAGTTCTCCCGTATATGACAAAAACAAAAAATAATTAAAAAAATAAACTTGGAAATCATGTACAACTTTGCTTCATTTAAAACTTCATAAATTTTGTACTTGTAAATGTTAATTAAGAAAGTTAATAATATTTTCAAATAATTCAGAGTTATTAATTTTTCCAGTGGACTTTTTTTTTTTTTCTGGAATACAAATTTTTGTAGAGTCACAAATGTGAGTATGTGCATATGCTGAACGAAGAGCTCGAGTGAGGTGTCCTCTTTGTAGTACTTCCTACTGAGCGACACGAAATAGGAGACATGAGTGATGATGTAGCTAAACAGCAAATTCAGTTTGCTCAATTTCAGACCCAATCGCAATTCGGATTCCTCCTCATAAAGGTGGCCCCTCTGTTGTTTCCTCCCTGCGGATGCTCTTCTTTGGAATACTTCCCCGAGGTGACCTTCGAAGGATGGAAGCAGACTCAGGTACAGCACCAAGACGTTGTTGCGTCTACATGTGGAAGGGGGAAAAAATAAAAATGGTGAGTTGACACATTTATATGGACATTACACACTTTTACACACTTTTGCGCTCTGTTGGGACGACTATCGTTCCCCTCTTCATGCCACCCATTTGGGACGTACTCCAAGTGCCTCTCCTCCAGGGAGTTACAAAGGTAAAAAATCAGCGCCGTTTTCTTCCTTCCACCTATCCCGCAGGGGATCACATGCTTAAATATGTTCTCTATGTTCACATCCTTCAGAGCCTACCAAGCAAGGGGGAAAAAAAAAATGCAAATAAGTTATGAACGGGTCAGGCAAAATGGACAAAAACACGTGCATAATTTATGAACACAGCATGGAAAAAAAAAAACAAAAAAAAAAAAAAAACGGCAAATACGTTAACACGTGTTGCGACACTGTGGAGCGCAAAGCATCCTAATGGGAAAACATCACTCACAATAACAGCTGCTCTACATAATCATCAACGTGGAAAGACCCCATGTGTGAACACAAGTTGTCTCATTTTTCTACGCAGCGTGCATTATTACTCTGTGTGTTTCCTCCAGATTGTATTTCCCCATGATGGGATAAGCTCAGATATATTCGGTCCTTCGTGGAGAAATTCAACATCGGCGGGTGGGGGCTCTGCTTGTCTTCTTAATTCGTCATCCAGTCTAACGAATAGACAAATACGAAAAAAAAAAAAGGGAAAGGGGGAAAGGGACACACACACACACACAAACAAAAAAAAAATTACCAGAAACAAAAAATAAATAAAATAAAGCTGAATAAAGTAAAGAACAAACGATAGGCTCATCAAATGGCGCGTGAGAATTGGTCACATATCGGGAAAACAAAACGGTGGAGTGGCGAAACGACGACACTATGACGCGCTACCACGGCAAAGTGACAAAATTGCAAAGTCGCAAGTTAACCAAATGGGTCACACAGAAACGCGTGAAAATAGCGTCACAAACAGGTGGACCAGGGGCACCTATCGGGGTGGCAGGCTCAAAACGAAAAAAAAAAACTTCATGTGCGTACATATATATACACCTATGTACACACGGTGGGGAGATAAAAAGGAGACGGTGCAAGAACAAGGGGGCAACCGATCACCTGCGAAATGAACATTCGCCAAAATGAGGGGGAGGGGAGAACCAACGAGACATGACCACAGAGACGCACAAACGTTATCGCATAATCACATAGCTTATCGCAAAGTAACACGTAACGAGCCGTAGCAAGATAAACAAAAAGGAATTGTCTTATGTAAAAATGGCACGCCATTTAATCTGAACAACAACGCAGGCCCAACTTCTGCACAAAAAAAAAAAAAAAAAAAAAAAAAGGGGAGGTGCCGCTAGGCTAAGGCATTTTTGTCATTTTCCCTGCTCTAGCTGATTCTCAAACATTATCCCCTGACATGTAAGGGTTGGTTTCCTCTAAGCTGGTTGCACGTGGCAACTTGTGCAGCATTCGCACGTAGCTACAAGGAGGTGCCTGCAAGTGCGTATAGGCCTACGTGCAAGCGTGGTACGTATGTATGCCTTTGTGTTGGGCCACACGCCAAGCAAATGACACACCAGTAAAGTATGCACAAAACAGGAGGTACGAACGCGGGAAATTCCAGGAAATTATGCAAATTCGAGAGTTTCAAATTATCTTCATTTGGGTGGTGTAAACTGTGACAGGGGAAAAAAAAAAAAAAAAAACGCTCAGTGCACGTTTTGGTTCTTTACTTGTTGGAGCGCATGTGTCAAATAGCGACCAAAGGGCAAAATGGCCCAAGGGAAGAACAAAAAAACGAACGATATCTTCGCTATTTTTTTTTTTTTTTACTTCTTTTCCGTTGCGAGGTGTCATTTATTTTTTTCGCGTACGTGTATGCATACGCACGAATCCTGCCTTGTGTCATTTTTTTCCACCCTTACTTTTTGTAGCGGGCGTGTAAAAAGTATTTCCCATTTCACTTCCCGCGGCACATTCCACCAAGTCGTGCAACCGTTTGTGCTCTTAAAGAAGGACAAGCCGCCTCGCGCGTGTATGCAGCTATTATTATATAAAACATACATTTACGTATGCACTTATAATGTATACATTATTTACAAACATTTCCCGAGTAGGCAGATTTTCCCCCAGTTTGCAGTTGCAAACTGTTCGCATTTTTTCATTAAACCATGATGTAATGTGTCCGTCCTTTGGGTGACCGCGAAGTTGCTGTCGCCCTCGCGCCATCGTTACGTTTTAAAGTTACGCTTTTTTCGCATGACCGTCTCAAAATTTCCCCCTTTACAAAACTGCCGCAATTTGCTCCGTTGTGTGGATTATTTTGTGTACTATGCTTTAGCCCGGTCGGGGGTGCCTCGCCGCTTGGTTACGCATACGTGAACGTGAATCAAAGGTTGCGCTGCATATTATTTTATGTATTTTTTTTTTTTTTTTTTTTTTCTGCGCGATTGCATGCCTTTTGCAGCATTATTGTATGTACTTTTTTCCCAGCGCTTGAACAAAAGCTTTTCGCATTTTTTTTGAGGCAACGGCAAATGGGATGGGTATGCCCAATTTTGCGCACGCATAGGCAGTTACGTACTTGCAAAAAGGCGCAACCCCTGTGCCCCCCTTGGCAAGGGATAAACTTTTTTTGCTCCTTAAATTTGTTTACTTCTTTTATTTTAAACCTTTTTTTTTTTTTTCGTGGGAACTCCTACATTATTAAGTGAAAACGCAGCGATCTGTTACAGGGCGGTCCCTACAGATCATCCCAATTTGCTAAAGCAGCAAATGGGGATAAATACCGGCTAATCGGTGATTGAACTGGCCAAGGGACGACGTGACATTTGTGCAGTTGCGGCGCGAAGCCCCTCTCCAACGCGCCGGGCTTGCAACCGACAGGAGACTGTCGCGTACGTGAACACAGAAATATATAAGCATACATATAAGTACATATACTCAACTTTGGACGGGCCTTTTCCCCAAACTAGTCGCCCCATCGTCATTTCGAAGGAAAAACGTGCCCCTGAGCAAGCAGCGCGGAAGGGTGTACACCAGTCACTACCAACCGCTCCACGTTGACATATCCCAGCCCAACGAGAACATGGAGGAAGGAGATCACAGCGACAAGGACAGCGTAGGGGAGGACCGCGTGGACGACAAAGGAGACGGCAAGTCGAAAAAGAGCTACGAAAAAATGGTGGAAGAAATTAAAATCGAAAATAGCAATTCGTACATCTCAAAAATTAGCCAACCATTATTGAAAAAAAAATATTTCAAGTATGTTCTTAAAATCCTAGACTATGCCTACTATGCCAAAGTAACAGCCATGCAGATCATAAAAACAAATGAGCAGATGGAGGAACGGAAGAAAAAAATTTTAAAAAACAAGTTCGTTGTTATAGGTATAACACAGGTTGTAAAAGCTATTAGGAAAGGACAGGAAGGTATTGTCTTTTTGGCCATAGATGTATTTCCAATTGAAATAATATGTCACATGCCCGTTTTTTGTGAAGAGCATAGAATACCTTACACCTTCGTTACCACAAAAAATAAGCTGGCGCGTTTGTGCAAACTAAAGCGATCAGTCACTTGCTTGTTCCTCCCAAAACCTAGCATAGACATTGACAAATTTGAGGACACCATCAATGAGTTTAGCAATAAGAAGAAGATTAGCAACTACACTAAGTTGTACGACAAGATGCTCGCCGCTGTGAAGAAGAACCATCCATTCTTTCAGTCGTAGGGGGCGTGTATTGGGTTGGCACAGAAACTACATCCCTACAATTCTTTGTAACATTTTTTTCCGTGCCCTTTTTAACCGCTCCGTCGGGCATCATTGCCAATGTAAATTAGCTCCTCATTTTTAATATTTTCTTAATTTATGGTCACAACAACTTATTTGCACCACTTTATTTTGTTCCCCCTCGTTGGGGCAACCTCTTTTTTTTTTTTTTTTTTTTTTTTTTTTTTTTTTTTTTTTTTTTTTTGTGCATAATTCAACCGCTTACCTCTAACCTGTGTTAAGTGTTGAAAAATTTTAACTTACCGTTGGGACGCGCGTTTGTTCCCCATCATACGTGTCCCACTCAGTGGACCTAGCTGTGTCTGCCGCGTATGCAGCGACGCGTTCGGTGTCATGCGTATTACGCATAAGGCAGGCGGGAAAAACGGTGCGAACGTATCGCTCCAAGCGCAACTGACATTTTTCACACGTGGGTGTTTTTGAAAATGGAGAAATTATCAATTTGTTGAAAAGTTTAATATGCAAAGGGGCGCCAATTGGGGCCAACTTTTCGCGCGCCCTTTTAGGGGCACTGTTAACGGCAGATGCAGCCGGTGTCCACGCAGAAGGAAGCAAAGACAAGTGGGAGGACACGGCCGCTTTAGACGAAGAGATGCCTCTTCTTATGCTTTTCCACGGGGCGCAGTGGCAACACCGTTTGGGCGTTCCTCTTCCATTCACAAAATGGGGAAAAGCTGCGTTCGTGAGGTCATTTCAGGGGGGGCGTCCTACACCTGCACAGCAAGCCGTTATATGTTCCACGCACATGCATACACATTTTATACAATATTATGTGCATTTTTTTCAGAGCATGGCTAACTGAGCACAAAGGCAATCACGAGCAGGATGAGGACGTTGCAGAAGCTGCACGAGTCGGACGACTTCATGCCGCCATCGGTGTCCGCGTGTGTCTTACGAACGTTCCCTCCGTTTGGGTGTTCCCCACTAGCGTGCTCATCCATCACATGGGGAGCGTTGCCCTTGTTAAACTTCTCCAAGTAGTTCATCACTTGAACACTGCCGTCCCACCCCTCGCTGCCTAAGTTGTCCGACGTGGAAGGCAGGACGTAGAGCCAATTTTCTGAAAATATTTCATTCTGTTCCTTTTGCAACTTTTTAATTTCTTTTATATTTTCAATTTCTTCTGTAAGGGTTTCATTTAACGAGGCGATGTTGTTCAGCAGCTGCGTTTTAATGTCTTTCAATTTGCTCGTTTTTTCTGATATGTTATTTACTGACTCGAGCCAGCTATGAATATCATTTTGTAATTTCCTTGAGTTGTCCTCCAGTAAGTTAATTTCGTCGTAGCTTTTTTTTTCATTATTTAATTTTTCGTTGTGCTTTATTTCGTCTTGCACATATTTGGCCAAGCTGTCTTCACTCGTTTCTTCTCCCTTACCATGGGTATCCCCCAGTGTGCCATGAGTGTTATGAACAGTTTCCCCTCCACTTGGTTTTACCTGACCGTATTCATTTCCATCTTTGCCTTTTAATCTTTTATGTAACATTTTTAGCTGATTCATATGCTCCTTGAGCTCCTTCTTGTGATCAACATTTTTCATTCCTCCTGTGTGCACGTCTTCGTGCTGCTTAATTTGTACTTCCGAAGTTTTGTACGACACGTGCTTGTCCCCCGCTTGGGCATTCTGCTCCGTATCTTCATCCTTTGGGGCCTTCACCATGGGGGTGAAGAAATAATCGTATAACACATTCCCCTTGCCACTTATATTTAATTCGTTGCATTTGGCCGGGCAGCTCTGGAGGAGTGTGTTTATTAGCAGAATGCACGAGAGGAAAAGGAAAACATTCATCATATGTGTGCACAGGTAAGCGGCAAGCCGACACATTGGGGGGGAAAAAAAACAGCCAAAATGAAGAAAAAAAAAAAAAAAATGACGTGCAGGCATGGAAACGAAAAAAAAAAAAAAAAAAAA